TTCAGTAGATGAGGTTTGCGGTGGTAGCATAGTGGTTATATGGGTAGTGATTAACGCAATTGTAGTTGGTGGCGTAGTCTTGCTTGCCTTGTTGTAGTTTGATTTGTGGGTTACAGATTGTGTACTATAATGGTGTGCGGATAGCGTGTTTATGGCTTTTGCAATTCATAACAGGTCTGAGGATCCTGCAGCGGGCCTCTATCTTCCCTGACCTACAACCAGCCGGCCTATTCAGCTATTTGCCAGTTCAACCTATGGGACCAGGCCGTGGCATGACCCCGCAAGCCGTGTACTATTCCAGTCAGCCCAGTCCTGCCCGGTACCACTGTCAGTACCAGGTCAGTCCAGTCCAGTCAATCCGCTGGGGGTATACCCTAGTTGCTGTCTGTTTTTCATCATTCTTCACTTTTGCACATCTTGAAGTACATGCGTGTTGAGTCTGCGTCGGAGCTGCGCTATCCCTTCCAGCTCCATCTCAACCTCCTCCTTCGTCAACCCTTCTTCTCCATCCTGACGGACGCCATCTTGACGGGTCCGACACACTACACGCGTGTCTACATGATCTGCCCTCGATCTAGCTGTCGGCCGAGCACCCTGAATGTATGGATTCCCACCCCACCCCGCAACATGAATGTCGAGACTCCCTTCTGGATCACTGACCGCGAGTGTTTGAGGGATCACGAGTTTCGAGAGTATTGGGAACACACATGTCTTTCGGCACGCTCGAGGACTGAGCTTCCACAGTTTCCAAGTCCGTACCCAACAGGAACCGAGCGCATCTGCAAGTGGGATATTGGGCGGGTCTTAAAACGTATTCCCCATTTCCCCGACTGCCCCAGCCCGTACATCTGTCAGATCATCGCTGAACCCGACATTGTTATCCTGGAAACAGAGTTCCCTCCCTATCACCGTTTATTGCCCTTCCACTGCCTGACCATTGCCCCTTGGTGAGCACTCGCCCCGTACTGCCACAGCCCCAGTGTTCCGACTACCTGTGAGACCACACCTACCGAATCGGGGTTCATCCGGCACACCCGCTCGGAAGCAGAGCAACGGGAAGTTGGGAACTTGGGAACACAGCCTTTGGCTGAGGCCAGCCACGTCTGATTCCAAGATCAGTGAAACCCGATGATGATGGGTGTTGTACCAACGGGACAGCCATAGCGTCCCGACGGTACACAGGATACGAATCCGTCCCAGGGTTGGGACCCACGAAGGTGACTGCCCGGTTCCACGAGGCCCAAAACCAAACCTTCGCCTACCCACTTGCATTCATATCCCTGAAACTTGACACGGGAGATCTCAGTTCCGACCTGGGACTCCACCCCCATTTTCCTAAAATCCTTGGCACACCCCTTTTCACATTTCCAGGCCCCCCATCACTCCGATCAGGAAGTCGCGCTGGGCGTGAGGTTTGGGCGTCACACTGATGGTGTGGACAATACTGGTGCGGACGATGATGAAGAGAGCAGTGGGGATGTAAAAGGCGGGGGAGGTGGAGAGGATGGACTTGATTGCATGGGAGAGTGGTGCTCGTGGCGTATGGTTGGGGCTCGGTTGGAGCAGGGATACTGCTGTTGCGGCAACAAGAGAAGTGTGGCGATGAATAACATGAAGGCGAGGAAAGCCAAGAGGCGATGAATGCTGCCAGAAGACATATTGGGTCCGTGTTTACCGCAGCGCTGTCCTCCTTCTTACTCTCCATAGCTTGTACTGCTCTTCACGCCGTGGTTCCTGCGAGCGAGCTAGCTGCAAATCCAAGTGCAAAGAAAGAGGAAGTCGTTGCTGCAGTAACGAAGAAGGTATTGCATATAAGTGCGCAGAGGTAAGCTCTGAGGTGGCTAGTAGGCGCAAGGAGTACTTGCTGCAACTGGCACCAAAGGAAGAGAACTCGCAAGAGAAGAAGACTAGGGAGGAGTGCGAGCGAGAACATGGTCGTGAAGGCCAATACACTGACAATGAGAGCGTGGGTAAGAGGGCAGGGGAGAAAGGCGGGAAGTTCAGGTGCAAGGGGGAACTGCTGCTGCTGGAGGGTGCTCACTTAGTAGCAGAAGCGGCGCCGGCCCGCCGGGCACTCCATCATGATGACGCATGACCGAGGTACGACAGCTAGAAGAATGCCGTCTCCTGGTCATGCACCTCCCTTCAGGCCGCAAGTGCGTCCCGGTCCAAAGGGAAGTCCATGCCGACCGTCGAGACCCTCCGTCGATCACTCGCTTGATGAAGAGTGTGACACTGAGTCCTCCGAGAATGCTGGTCGATTGCCGCGTCCACTTCGAAAATGATGTACACCTGTTCACTACTCGGACCCGTCGATGCTGACTGTCTTCGAAAAAACACCCCGCCCTTTTTGAATTTGGAACTGGCGCCAACATGGTAACCTGATTAATCCACCGACACCCGCTTCGGCTGAGCAGGGTATTACGGAGACGAACCGGGAGGACTGTATGTAGTCGTCTCCTGATACAAACTGCCTAAATCCTGCCAAAAGAATGGTCCGAGGAAAAACTTGACAATCGATAAAGCGGGGTTGTGACAAACCGATTTCTGCTCCACGCGGTTTTCTGCGCGGTAGCGATGAGGGGTCCTAAGCTGGGAAGGTTGGGTCAATTACGGGAGATCGGGATTAAGGGAGAATTGCATCAGTGTCCTCGTTTTTTCGCCTTTTCTTTTCACCGCTTCTTTTCAGATGGCTGGATTCAGGCCCGGACAAGTCCCGGGATGATTGATTGAGTGGCTGCCGCACCGACCAGGCGCGATTAATAAGGGTTGGCGATGCTTCTTTTCTGTGTTGTTGTCGGATTTTGGGCGCGAAAGACCGTGCGACAATTTTTTATTCGTTCTTTTTTTATTTTTTTTTATTTTTTTTTTTGAATCTTGTCGAGCCCGGATGGCTCTCGAAATTTCGGACTTTCTTTTCGGAAATTGTGCTTTTTGTTTTTCTGCATTAGATAGGAATTTAGGAATTTTGCAATTAGGATTTTCTTTTGTCGCGCGACGCTTTTTGCTTACGCGCTCCTTTTGGCAGTTGCAACGAAACTCTGATTAGTCGGCGCCCTTAATCGTGTGTGTAACCGTAATTTTGGGCGGGCGCAATTGTAACTGTATCTTTCTTCTTGAACTTCGTCTTTCCCGCTCTCCCTTTTCCTCCTTTCACTGTGCCTAGTTAGCCCGCGGCCTGCAGGCTCAGATCGATGCGAGGAGAGTGGCTACGTCCCCCACGGCGCGATCTGGCCATGCAGAACGCAGACGCTCCCTCTCCTAATCTCCTTTCTAAGTCCTTGAAATTCCGTGTTCTTCGTGYATGCATGCACGCTATAAATTCCTGCTGCGCGATTAGATAGCTCTCTTAACCAGTTGTTGGAAGCCCGGGGAGCGCGATCAGTGAGGGTCGGCTCGCGAGCGAAGTAAGAGGTGAGTTGAAGTGGGAGTCGGCCGACCCGACGAGCTGGTGCCAAACACGCGGGGTTGACGTGGGCCACGACGGACTGTGGGCGCGGGCGAACCTGGCGGGTGTGGGAGGACTAAGCGGGTTGACAACTTCGTGGGTTGGTGCGCGACGACGGACTGTCCGCATCGGCTGTGTGTCCGAAAATAGATTTAACGTGGGGTCCGCGTTAAAAAATTGAACACGCGTTCAATTCACGTTCAACCCCCGTTCAAACGCGCGTTGGACGTGAATGAACGGGGTCCGCGAACCGTTATTTCGCGCTCTCAGGAGGGGGGAGGGGGTTTTCTGAAGGTGCGGGGTGGTAGTCTTCGTTGTCGGGTACCACCCCGTGCATTCAATTTTTTTTTATTATTTTTTTTCAAAGAAAGAAAAAAAAAAGACCCGCGGGGCACCGGCCTGCGGCGGCCTCCTGGAGTCCTGGGGGTTGGCGCAGGGGGAACGGGCCGAACAGGTACTTAACAGGCAAGCGCGTTCGTCCGCAGCTCACTTGCTGCGCGAGCACTAACGGTCCAACGCGTCAAACGGGTTGCCCGTCAGGTTGGAATGCGCGCGCGCGCGAGAGAGAGAGAGAGAGGTGCGCCATAGCGCGCGAGAGAGAGATAGAGTGCGCCTTACAGCGCGGAGAGAGAGAGAGGGAGGGAGAGAGAGAGAGAGAGAGAGAGAGAGAGAGAGAGAGAGAGAGAGAGAGAGAGAGAGAGAGGAGCGCGGAGCGTGGAACGTGGAGCGCGTCGGAGCGGAGCGGCGATGGCGGGGAAGCAGCGGAGCGGGTCGACGACAGATGAAAGCGCGCGCGCGCAAACCCGACGAACGTCGTCGAATTCTTAATTCGACGGCGTTAAACGCGATTGCACGCGATTGAACGCGTTTTAACGACGTTCAACGCGATTGAACGCGCGGGTCTGACCCCTGTTTGGCAGGGTTTGACGGGGTTCGGCGGAGCCGTGCGGGGGTGGCGGGGGGGGGGGGGGGGGGGGGGGGGGGGGG